TAGCTTGCATGAGCCTTAGGGTGGGGAATAAGTAGTTCCATTAAATTCCAATAAATTATTATTATAATTATAATTAGCACACGAAAAAAAATAGATTGAATACGTTCGAATCTTCACAAATTATAAAAATATTTCAATGGGATGTAATTTCAAAAAACTAATTTTCTGCATATCCTTGAATATCAGCTCTTTATCTAGGCAAGAATCTTCATTGGCAGTGACATGTTAGCCCGCGAGATTGGTACAGATTTCAATTCGTACGGTATTCCGACGGAACTCAATAGAAGATATTGTATAATTAAACATGAAGTCACTGAACTAGGCGGTGACAAAATTACAAAGCTGCAATAGAAATGTGCATTGCAAATAAGTTCCGGTATATGTATCGAGTGAGGTCTGCACTATTAGTGTAATTACAGGACACATCTTGTGTGGTCACCAATTATCAGCTTTTCAAGACAAGTTAATAGTTTACAAACTCAAGGTTTGAATTGAAATTAGGTCACCAATTTGAGTCTCATAAGTATAAATACAAATTTACGATACACAATTTGTCACATTTATCAAATGATTAGAGATACAAGAAGATAGTGCTATAAAAGAGAAATATTTCCAACTCGTGAAACCACTCGGAAACAACTCATTCAAAATTCTATCACAGATAATTCATTTGGATTATTTCTTCTTGATTGAAAGGACCATTGTTTGAAATTGTATCTAATAAGACAAAACGTAAGGAAAACATTGAGACAAAGGATCACTAAACATCTATGCAGTGGTTCCAGAAAATTCCATCTTGTCTGAATATTTATGAATTTTTTATAAATTACTTGGGTGAACAATAGAACGGAAGTGTACTTTCATAATACAAGCTATTCTTATATCTCCATAATGTTTACTACCATCTAACTTTTGCAATAACTGTTGTAAAACTATTTATAATAACTAAAAACAATGCTAATAATATGTGTGATTGGTGACTTGTTTATTTTGTGGCAATTCAAGTTTTATACGGGTCAAACCCGAAACCGGTCGTGTAATAGTTTATTATCAATATACTATTGCTTCATCGTGTCAGCCTTCTCTCACAATACAGGTTTCCATTCAAGAAGAAAATTCCCTCAATACATTTCTGATTATATTCGGAGTTATACCCGGAATTGTCTCCGTAATAATTATTTCAAAAGTTATTCGTTTGTGAATAGCCTTTGTTGATATACCTTTCCACATGACTAACCTCAGAAGAGAAAAATCTATTGGGGTTGAATCTGGCGACCTAGCTGGTCAAAAAACATCAGAATATCTTTGAATTACCCTTCCATAGAAACTGTTTTCAAAGTATTTCCTTACTTTCATGTTGCGTCCTCCTGTTGGTACCGTATCTGTTGGCCTTCATGTCTTGGAAGATCACGAAGAAAATCATACAACTGATTTTGTAAAAAAAATTAGATATCGTTGACAAGTCGTAGATTAAATATGAATATAACTGGAGTTTTATCCCAACACCAAACCGTTATTTCAACACCTCGATACGTGTTTTGATCACCAACTTATCATCTTCATCTTGAAATTGATCATTATATTCATTAGTACACCATAGGTTCCAAACAGTACATCACAAGTCATAGATTGTCGAAAAACATGACCAATTATTTTATTCTTGTAAATGCCGCACCAAACGTTGTTTTAAAAATAATATTGATGACGAGTTTTATTCGTAAAGTGAGGATTGGAGTTACTCCACCATCAAAAATTTTGCGGAGAGAATGTCCATCAGACGTGAATGTAGATTCGTCAGAAAAAAATATTTTATTAGTCAAAAAAAGATCGTCTAGCTTTCCTTGGATAAGAAAAAATCTAGTCGTCTCTCGTAGTATCCAGGTTTTAACGTATGGATATATTGTATCTTTACCAATTTTATCCGGAAGCGAAGATGCCCTTTTTCACTTTTTCAGGTTTTTCCTCTGCATATAACATTACATTTAACTTCACTTTCTCACTTGTAACAGGTTTTCGATGTTTGTTTGTGAATTTATTATATACATCTCCAGATGATTTGATTTTTAATTAATTCTCATTAGTGATATATGTTGTATATTTTTCTCTGGATGTCTGTTAAATATTTCAGCTGCTTCACGATTAGTTTTATAAATATCACACACTAAATATCACCGGTATATTATTGACGTTCACTGTCAAAACATTCTTTCTATCAAGAAATTATTTGTTTATCAGTGCATCCAAAATATTTAATTTGGTGTATATTATAACAACGATAAAAATAAAAACAACAATAAAAATTTATTGGCGCTCCGGGGCGACTTCATTGATTCCAGTGGCGCATTTGCTTTTTCAGCTGTAGGCAAACCCGGAAAAACCTGCAGCACCACATCATCTGAAGATCTTGATCTAGATTTCACGTATCTACAGTTACATTTGCAATGCTATTGTAGATATAAAAGGAAAAACATGTTTTTTCAGGTTATTGGATGAGATTGCATATTTGAATATAGTTTTTAGTTCTGATCGGCTTTTCCCAATAACAGATTTCGATATCGTCAAAAATAAAAGTGATTACTCTTGTATCAAATTCATATTTTTTGATAAACCGCATATACGACTGAAAAGAATTTATATTTGATGGTTGCAATTTAAGTTTAATACTATGCAGAACTTTTTAAAAGGGCTAACTTTTTTTCGTAAAATGACTAATAAAACTTAGTATAATTGAATCCAATTTTGTTGTTCCCATGAAACAACAAAGTCCATTATGATAAACTACATAGCATTAGAGTATACAGCAAAATCTGACGAAATGAAAATGGAAGTTTCATATAATCGTGGAAATTGCAATTTTGTTCATTAATAAATCAGATCAAATTTCGTAATAGACTTACACTCATTCTGTGTTTATGAATCGTATGATACTATAGGCATAAACCTACGGAAGGATTCTAAAAGGACGAAAAGAAAAAGACTCTCCGATTCCGTAAAACTTTTTTTCACTATTTGACAAGCTTCAAATTCGAATTATTACTTTTTCTTTTGCTACAACATACATTTTGACTTGCACGACCATCTACGAAAATTACGCATTTTCTTTAAGGAAATCTATATAATAATATGATACAATAGTTCTACGAAATAGGTTAATCTTGTCAAACTTGACCTGTTAATGTTCTTTGTGGAATTCAAATTTTATTGGCAAAATGTGACAAACCAGAATATTTCCATATTCATCAAAAATATTGATATATGATGGTTGCATTTTAGGTTTGAGATCATGCAGAACTTTTTATTAGGAATAACTTTTTTTCGTAAAATTGATAATAAAAAAGGGTTTCATATGGTGCGAACTTGAGCATGCACAAAACTTATGAATTATTTAAGTGAATGTGTGTCAAAAACTTGAAATTTCGGATATTAGAATAATCCTCTTCACCTTGATTATTCTCAAGGAACTGCATAGTTCATATAATAGGATGATATCTATACATAACAATATACTAATTTTGCATGTGGAAATTGACAGGAATTCGTCAATTTTTAAATAGATTTTTCTTCCAGAAAGGACGAGAGAAAAAGACTCACCGATTCAGTAAAAAGTTTTTTTTACCATTTGCCTATAGTTTTGTGAGACATGACTTTATTTGGACAGTTTTGTCATTCATTTCATATTCTTCTGCAATTTTTGAACTGCACGACCGTCTGCAAATTCACACAAATTTTATTTTATGGAAATACATTATAAAACAGCTCTGCAAGTTACGTTAATTTTTTTAAATTTGATTTATTGAGTGGTTTAGTTACTTTTACTATAGCTAACAAACTAAATCATCAAACTAAATCAATTTATGCATTTTTAGAATAGTTTTCATCGTTGAAAATGACAATTGAGAATGAAACATCTCACAAAAGAGACAAACTCACAAAAACATTTTTGAAGTATAGCACCGACAGTCTTGTTTGTTGACGGCCACTTATCGGGATAACGTTCAGACAAAGTTCAACACTCTCGAACTATTCCCTACATATAATAATTACGTTCAAACAATCTTCATTCGTATAATTAACTTGAGTCACTCTCAAAACGCATATTGACACATGAAATATACACATCTTTCAAAGTTATCCAAAAAGGAGCTGATAAGGAGTTCAAGCCAAGTGTTTTTACCCGAAAGTTCTATAAATCACTTGGAGAATGTAATAAAAATTCTTCATGAAAGTGAAACTTAATATCAATACTCTTTCATGTATTACGAAGTGTAACGTTCTTGTTACGATTCCATTACGAACTGTATGAGAAAAAGTGATATTCCAATGATTTGGCATTGATCTATTTCATTTCATTTTCTCCTTTCTTTAGCAGTTTCCCTCTTTCTCTACATTCATGGATTAGCAGAAAGCCAAAAATATTTTTCCACTGTAAGATGATCAGAATATAATTTATAGACTACATAATATATTATACGATGTAATATAAAGATTTTTCACAATATGATTCTGTACAGAAATTGATTATTGAATATGTCTCTGTGTCATATTGAAATAGGTTTCATATGTAAAATTCTTTTATATATTTTTGGAAAGGAAGCATGTCCATTCATAAACATTTTCAACCTGTGATAAACAGGGAAGGAGAATTGAAAACTATTGGTATTTTCCTTTGGAATGTAAAATTTCTCTTCTTAGAAGAATATTTATTCAGGTAATTTCGATTATTCAAGTAAAATGAAAAACATAGAACAAATAGGTATATCAACTTACAGGCATATTTCTTATGGTTAATTCTAAAATGTTCAAACTTTTACCTGAATCCCCTTCCTCATGACATGACAATTTTCTATTATTTCTACCTGTAGCATTTCTCATAGGTAGATTGGATAGGTATATCACAAATATATTTAAACCGTATGCACTTCAATCTTTCATCAGTTATATGATAAGAGATATTGTGACTACATCGTAGTTCTTTGACGAGTGACATTTGCATTCTATAATTTATAATGGCGTTCAATACTACATCTTCAGCAGGTCTCAGCACTTACCGTGATCAGCATTTCAGAGGCACCCTAGCAGAACAAGAACGACTTTTGAGAATTTCGACCACGATGTATGTGGGAAATTTGTCGTATTACACAACAGAGGAACAAATCTATGAACTCTTCTCCATGTGTGGAGATATTAAAAGAATCGTTATGGGTTTGGACAAATATGAGAAAGTTCCGTGTGGGTTTTGTTTCGTGGAATATTATAAGAGGGCCGATGCCGAAAATTGCATGAGGTATGTTAATGGTACACGGCTCGATGATAGAATAGTGAGAACCGATTGGGATATAGGTTTCGTCGAAGGAAGGCAATACGGACGAGGAAGATCTGGTGGACAAGTCCGCGATGAATACAGGACGGACTTTGATGCTGGCAGAGGGGGTTATGGAAAAATTATTCAACAGAAAGTGGAAGGTGTCGCATCTCCTGCACCATTTAGGAGACCTAACAAAAGTCTTTGACTTCACTCTTTGTTTTTCAATAGTACAAGTGGATTTTACTTATGTGTTTTACTATGAAAATATATCAACATATTGAAATTAATGTATTTATATTAATTTGTATTACTATGTTAAAAACTGTTCGCGAATTATTTTATGTTGGTCTCACATGTACGGTAAGTGTATATCCTAACAATGAATTATTATAGCTGATATGGGGATAGTGAAATTCTTTTTTAAAAATTATTGTATATCGTGAAATCGTAGGTTACCTTTTTTATATTTTGTCCTCATTTCTGGTGAACCAATTAATTTTAAAGCTGAACAATTTTGTATCATCAGCGAGGCATTTTTTAGGGTATGTTGCTAATAAAATAAAGTTGAAATATATGTTGCATACGATTGAGCTCATATCTTGTACAGGTACATTTAGCAATACGATTTGTTCTCTACTGGGTTGTTCCAGCAATATTTATTTTGTGCTAGTGCGTTTTTATGTATTTTGACTGCGAAATAAAGACAGTCCTGTCGAAATGTAGTTTTTATTTACAACACGAAACGTGGCGCAGTCTAGTTAAATGCTGATTAAAGGTGAGAATTGAGTATGAAGTTTGTTCTATGTGGATATTAAAATGAATGTTCAAATAGAATATAAATCATGAATTACACTACTCATTTGGGTGTGATTTCTTTATTACTATAAAAATGAATGCTGGACAACAAGAACAACTCACCTTCCCCCTGTTATCACAAATGCGGGTAAGTGATGCGCATTATCAATTTTCCTCAACGTTCTGGATGTTCAAGTTGGCTTCTTCTAGTCAAGGAATTATATCGACGTTTGACGTCACTGATGTATTTTCTGGTATATTTTCGTCTTAGCATCAACTTCGCAAGTGTTTCCCCTGTTGTTTTTACGGGATGTTTGTTTGTGTAATGAACCAAGAATCGATTTATTATTTAAAGTAATTTCACAAACTACACCTTATGATTTAACTTTTTTCTGTCATGATGCATCTTGAAGCGCTGACTCCTTGGATTAAGCCAATTTCACAATTTTCTTGGAGGTCACTGTTACGTTAGAGGCATCTTATTCGCAAAATCTGTTCAAAATTTTTGTGTCGTTCATTCCCGGAACGAAAATGTCTCTCATGAGTATATCCAACATATGTATACTGAATATACAAGTGAAAACTAGACATTTTATCCTCTGCTACATTTTCATGAGAGTCCCGCTTTACTGTATAAAAGTTCTTTTGCAAAAATATATTCTTACCGGAGAAAAATGTTCCTTTAACGAATCGAGAGTACCTTATAGGTTTTTGTGTCTGGTAAATCAGGTGCACCTGATTTATAGTCGAAATAACCGATATAGTAATCTTAAAGCTATCGGCGAACTCAAAAACCAAAGAATTAATGCCGCTAGGAATTAGTCCACGTGGACTGAAGAATTGGCGGTTGGTATTGGATAATTTTTACTAACCGAGTTTTATGATTGGCTGAAGAGTCATAAAACTAAATTTGAAGTCATGTTACGGTGACGAATATAATGCGAGCCATCGTGTTGTCAATTAACCGAACTTGTTTTTTAAAATAAACTGTTAATGCCATCTATTTACGACTTGCGTCACCTTGACAGTCGCCTTTCACTTAGAGTTGGTCAGTGTCCTTGAAGCGGCCGTGCAGTGGCCCATGTTTTTATCAAGGTAAGTTGATTTTTACGAATTTTGATGTAAAAACAGCAAATTTTGATCTGCCTTCAGTTTTATTACGTTAAAGATATCAGGGATTTTGTATTATTGTATGATATATTGTTTGTTTTACTTAGTTTCAACATTAAATAGACAAGATTCCCCTCAATCTTAACCTCAAAATAATTTATTGTTTACATGCATACCGAAAAGACAAAACGGAACGGGTAAATGGACCACGTAGTCAGTTTTACCTTCAATGCAATTGGTTTATGATTATACATACATAATTTGATATTAAAAATAGGTATTTTCATTTCAGATGGTTAACAACTATAAAAAAAAGTCGGACCGACAATCTTGGCGTGAGGAGGATATGAAAAATGCCATCGAAAATGTAGCTTCATTTAATGCTCCAAAGACTACATTAATACGAAGACTTACCAAATATGAAAGCACTAAAGATTAAAGATTTTCAATGTTGAGCAAGAGAGAGAACTACCATCCTATGTCAAAAATATGGAAAACCAGAACCCACTTCAGCAGCTCGATCATCTGGATTCAACCAAGTTCAGGTTAAACGGTTTTTCGATTTATTAACAGATATAACAACAAAGTATAAATTGACATCCTAGCGAATCTTCAATGTCGATGAAATGGGTATGACAACGGTACCAAAAAGTATGCCTCGTATTGTTGGTACAAAAGGAAAGAAACTTCTGCTGAGCGAGACCAGCATATTAATGTCGTTGTCGTTTGCTACTTCGGTGCGGACGGGTCTTACATGCCTCCCTTATTCGTGTTCCCGTGATGAAACCCGAATTGATGCTGAATGCTCCACGAGGATCTTCGGCGGTTTGTCATGAAAGCGGTTGGATACAAAAAAATAGTTTTACAGAGTGATTCAAGAAGTTTATTAAATTTTCAAGAGCGATCGTCGATATCCAGTCTTGCTTTTGTTTGATGGGCATGCAAGTCACACAAAAAACATGGATATTATCAATTTAGGACGGGATAACGGTGTGCATGTGCTTTCATTTCCGCCTCGCTGCACACATAGACTACAACCATTAGATGTAGGATTTATGAAACCTGTTTCCACTTATTATACCGAAGATGCAAATAACTGGCTGAGATTCAATTTGGGAAAAGTAATAATCCAATTTCAACTTTCAGAGCTAGTCGACAAAGCCTTCCAAAAAGCTGCAACTTTGTCAACTGTTTATAATGCTTTTCGAGCCACTGGCATCTGGCCGTTAAACCCTGAAGTGTTCACAGAAGCAGATGTTTTGGCAGCAGCGACCACTGATATTGAGATGCCAGAAGCAACGTCAAGAGATAACGAATCAGGACCATCGATAATTCAACCCGAAGAAGCGCTCATCATCGATGAACCTGAATTATCAGTAACTGCCGATCATGCAGCTATTCAAATAAATATGACACCAACTCTAGTCAATGATGAGACATTTACAGCGGAACCTGGCACATCTAGCAATGAAGGTGACACTGAACCATTGTTATCAATGAATGATAAAGATTTGAACACCGTTGTACCATCGCCATCAGCATCAAGTGATCAGAGCATTTCCTAAAATAAAGATCTAACCAGCAATGATGAGCAACAGCCATCTACGAGTACATCCTTTTCTATTGCTCCAAAAAATATCATGGCCATCCCTAGAACTTCTAAACGGACTAGATCTAATATTAAGCGAGGAAAGACAGTCGAAATCGTGAAGAATTAGAAACTACTAAAAAAACACAGGAAATGAAAGAAAACGCGAAGAAGGTAAAACAGAATCTTTTTACTGGAAAGAAGGGGATAGGTCTATGATAATTTCTGAAATCTCAACTTTCGGAAACAATATATAGGGTGCTCGGTGAAACCGGTCAAGTTTATTCATTTTAAAACAGACATAATTCAACTTTTTCAAAGGGAACACCCTGTATTTTTCATTTGTATGAAATGTTTCAACATTCCACCAAGTTTTTCATCTATACTATACTAAAAACAAATTATACACTTACATTCACTTACTCAAAATGTTTTCATTATGAAAAATAACGAGTAATTTTTTTATTGAATAGGGGAGCCCAAAAGATGTTCAAAATGGCGACCATTCTCTGCAACACATATTGTCAGTCTTTTTTTAAACGAATTCTCTACACGTACTTGCATATCCTCTCGGATTTCCCTGAAAGCTCTAGTGATTATTCGTTTTATAGACAATCCATTTGATACAATCCCATAAAAAAATCTATTTTCGTCAGGTCAGGTTCCATATGGAACCTCGTCCAGCAAATTCGAAAACTCATGCCGAAGAAATCTTACATGTTTTCTTCCAGTAAAATGCCCATCCAAAAAATACGGACCGATAACTCTTTTTCCGAGAATTCCACCCCAAACATTAAGTGACCAACGCTGTTGATGGTTCAGGCAACGAACAAAATGGAGGTTTTCCTTTGCATAATAATGCATGTTATGCCGATTCACAGTTCCATTATTATAAAAAGTCGCTTCATCAGAAAATAACACGAAATCAAAAAAATCATTTTCCCGAATGATCTTTTCTAAACCCCATCGACAGAATTGAAGACGTCTTTTCAAAATCTCTTCCTCTTAACTCTTGCATCAATTGCATATGGTAAGGATGAAATTTGCTTCCTCGTATCATTTGAGACACGCTGGTTTGAGAAAATTTTAATTCCCTGCTGAGGTCTCGGGTACTCACATACGGATTTTCAACAAGGTGAAGAGCAATTTGAAAAGTATTCTCTTCATTTGTTTCAGTGTTCGAACTTCTCGTGATTGACATTACCAGTTCTTTCACAGCCTGCGAATAGATCAAGCAATAATGTCGACAATTCTGTCAAATACAGATCCCGAGCATCCAAACGGGAATAAATATGAAATGAAAAGGAGAGTTACAAACAAATGAACTGACAAATAAACAAACATACATACATACAGGTGAAGTTAAACATTTCCAACCTGTGAAGAACAGGAAAGGAGAATTAAAAACTGTTGTCAAATGTAAAATTTCTCTTCTTTGAGGAATATTTATACAAGTAATTTCGATTATTCAAATGAAATGAAAAACATTTCAGTATTTTACTGACTAGATATCAAATAGATATATCAACTTCCAGGCATATTTCTTATGGTTAATCTTAAAATTTTCTTAATACTTTTACCTGAATCCTGTTCCTCATGACCTAATAGACTATTTTCTAATATTTCTACCTGTAGCATGAATAGCATTTCTCTTAGGTAGATTAGTTAGGTATATCAAAAATATATTTAAACCGTATGCACTTCAATCTTTC